GGTGGCGGCAGAGGTGGCAGTTCTTCTTCACTAGAAGAATCTTCAAATTCCAAATCCCAGAAAGTGGCATAGCTTCTCTTCAACTGAGGCCTGCTTTCGGCAGCGCCCTTGTCATGTCCGACTGGGGAAGGCTGCACCGCAGCGCTGTCTTTTTCGGTTTTGCTTTTTGGATCTTGCTCCGCGCAGCCTTTCTTCACAAGTGGTGGATCTTGATCAGAGAGAGAACCGATACTCAAGGAAGAATAGCCCCTCTTCAAACCTTTGAAGCCCTCGTCGTCAGCAACCATCTTTTTCTCAGCGGCCACCCTGTCTCCAGCAGCCATCTTGTTCAAAGCTGGTTCGAAGGTGAAAATCAAAATGTCCAATCACACAGGGTGACTGCTCTTGAGCCCAGTGCTGGTATCTGTCTTCTATTGAAAAAAAATGCCTGCCCAGCCCACAGCCCATTCCGGTCCTGTCAAACTGCCTCCAAGCATCGCATCTGCGCACCCATACACCGGAATACTTCTGCATCTTTTCCGGCGCAAGCATTGACCCAGTACCTTGGATTCTGCGTTGATGTAGGAGGCATAAAAGATTGATATATTTTGGCCTTCCAACGTTGAGCTATCTTCAAACGGCTCTTCAGATTATATACTCCAGATTCAGTAATCCTGCTGCCAAGTAGCATCCTCGAATTTGGCATTCCAAAGGCCAACCCGCAGGCGGCTTCTCTGCCATTTCCACAAAGAGCCCCAAACCCCAGCGTTGATTGGTCAACGCCCCCCTCTCTGGCAACCAGAAAACAATGATAGACCATGTACGCAACAAAACATGCCAGTTAAATTCCTATGATCTTTCAATGCAAGCTGTCAATGGCTAATGACATCTACTAACTGTCACATCTATCATGGTTGGTTCTCTTTCTTTGCTTCTTCACATACATTCACTACTCCTTTGGCAAATAGCAGCGGGCAAAATGACAGCAAATTAATATAATATGATGAACAATTCTTCAGAAATTATTTTGCAGTATAATGACCTATCCTTCAGAAATTATTTTGAGGTATAATGACATAATCATCATAAATTATTTCTAGGTCCTTGACCTATCGTAGGCATAATTATTTGGAGGTCCTTGTGCCTTTTTGATGAAAATTATTTTGCCATACCCACCACCTGAAATTAATTATTTCCATTGACATTCAGGGGTTCTAGGACCCCACCTCTCTGTAGAAATAATTTTAAAAATTATTTTTAGAAAATTATTAGGAGGGGTCACCCTATACTCTTTAATATTTTCTGAAGGGAGGGGTCATCCTTCACCATTGGGATCTTTGAGATTGCCACCAAAGAGTGTGTAGCTTCCATCACAGGTCTTTGCCCAGGAGAAGCCACGAAACAAAGGGCGATCTTCTACGCCCTCAAGCAGCTAGTTCTGGATCAAACTCACGTTGGCATCTCCAATCTGCAGGTCTGGAAATCATGGACTCCTCACATGGCCATGGAGCGGTACCAGACCTACATCAAGATCTTGAGCTTGAAGATTTTGAGATGATCCGCCCACTGCTTTTCATGGCTCACCTTCAACAAGAGGAGGGCATGCGCACCAGGAAGGCCCTCAAAAGAATTGCACAGGATCGAGCCCGTGAAGAGGCTCCCACGGACTTCCTTGCTTACCAATCGATGAGGACCTTGGAGACATCCTGGTGGTTGCAGCAGGGAGGATGGATCTGTTGCTTCGTGATTCCAACCACTTCCTTCGCAAGAAGGCGGAACTCAACACTGAGGCTAATCGTTGGTCCAACAGAAGAAGGATTTAATCGCATTCCTGCTCCAGCACCCTGAACATCAAGGTCACGAGTGGCAAGCACATCGCAGCGGAGCCATTTGTGGCCAGCGAGTACATGTCAAAAGCATGCTACAAGAGATCAAGGAAGCCATGAACAAAGAGTGCACGGCCCACATCATCGACAAGCCCGTGAAAGCTCCAAGGATGACCATCATCCAACAGCTCATAGAAGCACAGGACAAGCCGCAAGCTGGAGTCCATTTCCTGAGACTCGAGAAAGCATATTTGCGCTGCACCCAATGCCGGGCATATGGCTTGCCCGTACGAACGAGCAGACCTTCGAGGCCTTTGTGGGAGAGACGTGCCACAGCGGACCGATCCCTCCGGCCGTGTGGAGAGGCCGTGTGGAGAGGCCACAAACCCACACGATGCAAAGGATGGGCATGGCTGCAGAATGCTCGAGATCTCCTGCAAAAAGCAGGATCGTGGACGGCGAGGTCCTTTTGAACAAGCGCCTCAGAGAATCTTGTTCCAGCAGGTCACAAGACCTTCGGCTGATGTTTCGCTAGCACGCTGTGGCACTGGAAAAGGCCGTGCAAAAAATATACATACACCTACTTGGACCAGTATGGAAGGAAAACGACTACCAGGTGACATTCCATATGTTGGTGATGTCACGCCCATAAATTAAAACGTTTTACAACCAAACCAAAAGTGAAGTTGGTGACCGGAATCTGAGGATCTCTCATGGTGAACCGTCAAAGTGGAGATGGTTGGGCTCACCTGCCAAGTGATAGCCAGCCATGCTGGAGACTCACCTGGACCGCCATGGAATCTCATGATTCTCGTGACCACCGCTGAGCTCGTGAGGCGGCCAAATCCAATTCATTCCGGTCTTTTCGAGAGCTTTTAAAGCATCATGTGTAACCCTGAGAAGTCTGAATAAACGTGATAATGCTACGGTATCGTAATAATATATCATCCTTCCAAAAGGCAGGTCAAAAAACATGTTACACCACCAGCCCAAATGTCAAAACCGAGCACGTTTCCCAGCTTATGTTGGTTGCCCGGGGCTTGCCCTGGCTTTTCAGAGACACCGTCCTGGGCGTCCTTTATGTTGTCGCGGCTGAAGAGTAGCAAGATTCTCTTGGTGATCCGTTCCCGAGGCCCTCGTCTCAAGCCAGCCCTTCTGCATAGTCGAGGATGGGCAAGGTGGCAAAAGGAGCACTGATCTCCTTTAGGACACCCGACTTGAGTCCTAAGTCATCGGACTCGAAAGGACACGAAAACGACGAAAGGACGTCGTGGGATGTGGCCGGTTTGCGCAACTGCTGACAGAAGCCGTGCACCAAAGAAAACGGTTTGTTCAGGGATGATCCCCCTCGGGGCGTGCGAAGCCTAGAAATCGCAGCCCTCGGATCCTCAGGTCCTATAGAAATCAGCACCAGTCCTTAATGGAACCCAGCACCTCTTTAGGCACTGCCTCGACAATAGGCAGTGAGATACCTCACACCCCGCCAAAGCTGTCAAATCCAAAGCTTTTCGTCCTTGTTTCACCTGCCACTTGTGCGGATCAAGTCACTGGGCGAAGACGCAGGGTTGACACCTCTCATGGTGGGCCGACAGGTCCGCAGAAAAGGAGGAGTGGTCCATCTGGATGGGGTCTCCACTTGAGATCGGAGGTGGAAAAAAACAAGTGGCAAGTCTTTCAGATTCCTTGAGAGCAGTTGTTGCAAACCTACTGTGTCTTCTGTGAAACAGGAGCCTGGAAGAACCCAGGCTGCGACACCGCGGTTTGGCCTGCCGGTTGCATGGCCCGCACTGCTGTCTGCAGTGCTCGACGCAGAGTCGCTACGGGACTTCTCCACATCGCTTGGCCTCCAAGCGACCTGCTGGTGCTGCTGAGGACACGGGCACCATTTCGTGTCCAAAAAGACGGGTGTCCTGCCCTGAATTTGGTCGTTTCATGTCATCCTCACCCATTCGACCCGCTTACATGGGAGAGACTAGTTACTTGGCAACCGACCACTAGAACCAAGCTGTCCATTTGGATGGTCGGTCTGTCTGCTTCTCCAAGAAAAGGAGACCGCAGAAAGCCCAAAGGCGAGGCGAACGAAGAAAAGTCACCGAGGGACTCGAACGAAGGGTCACACCGAGGCTCGGGAGCCCACCGACCGACAAAAGACCTAAGAACTCAACGGGCCTAACATGTCACATGTCATGTCATGTGTTGCGCCATGGTATGGAACCGGTCCCCGTTCCAGCCACCAACGTGATGTAAAGATTCCATAGTAGATTCCATGCCTGATGGGCGTGGAAGAGTGACATAGAGTGACCCTACAACAAAGACTTTGAAGGGTCGTCGATGGGTCAATCGATGAGTGCGAGTTCGCCTACGCCTACAGAGAACCACTCGAGAGAGTGGGTCGTCGTCTAGCGTGCTCAGTGCTCATGAATCATTTGTGGTAATTGACTCTTGATTTATACACCCCCTCAATTTGAATTGAAACACCTCTTCATAGGGGGGCTATTAATCAAGAGTCTACATTGATCTACATTACTTATTTTTGGTACTCAATGTGGGCGCAAATCAACACCCCTTCAGATCAACAGGACTCGCTTGGCTCACCATGTGATCCCAGCATTCACCTTTCAGCCGTTGAGCCGTTGAGTTGGTCCACCACCCCGCGGGTGTCATCGAACGGTTCCCGCCTCCGCCTCGACCAATCCCGATCTGATCATGACGTTTGGAGCGGACGTCTCTGCTTTCGAGGGAAGTCGCCTCAAAGTCGTCACTGGCCCCACGGCGGAAACCTCGCTGCGCTGGCCAATGCCACCTTAAATGTGCATCCTTAAATTCACCCTCTAAATAGAAGGTCTTTGAGCCAAATGTCATCATGTCAAGAAATTGGACATGGACAGGTCACGTAGGGGATGTGAGGACTGCGGCAGGTTTGCTGTCTGACGTTCTGTTAGCTTGTCAGGAGGCAATGCTCAACGAAGAGAATTGAACCACCCCGACCTCCACCGGAGCTGAATGGGAAGATGTTTCATGATCTTTCTGAACTGTGCATCTCTTCGACATCTGGCTACATCGCATGGAATGATTCAAAACCATGTGGCCCAAAAGACCGAGATACGCGAGTGGCGCAGCCCTGCCTCCTTGGGCCCTGGTTTCACGATGGTCCCAGGGTCTCCGCCCCACCCCACGAGTGGTGGGCGGCCGGGCATAGTCGCCCGCGGATCGTTGCTGTCCATTGGGTGCGACGACGCGCAAGGCTGGAGGCAGGCGCACCTTCGTGGCCGCCTGCGTGGTGTGGACGATTCGAAGGAGACCGGACGAGTCGGAACCCAGCACCCTGGTGACCCTGTGACCCTGCCGTGACCTGCACAGTCGTGAACGAAGGTTGAAAAGGAACCAAGTGCAGCTCACCCCTGACCCATTCGTCGGACCGTTTCTGGCCACACTGGTAAGCAGGCAGCTCCAACTGGCAGGTAGCGAGGTGACGGGGCCTTGAATCGGAGTTCCAGTCTGAGGCATAATAACTTATCATGTCGAACAGCCAAATCACCAGAACCAACCCTCAAAAGCCAAAGCAAATGTATTCAACTTAAACGTCTAGCTGTTTTCTGGACCTTTCTTTCAAGGTACACCTGGTACTGTTCTGGACCCTCCAGTTCCCCTCACCACCATCTCAGATCACGTGAACCGTGGGTGAGGCTCATCAGGTGACACCCAAGGCCGACCAGGGTGGAGGATGGGACGGCGCAAGCCGCAAGCTGCAGTCCCCATTCGTCCGGTCTCACCATTCTTTGAGCGTTCTTTGAGGCCAGAATTATACCCAGACACGACTAATGGGACTGCCATATATGCCGATCAGTTGAATTGGTTTTGGGGGTCAATGTAGGCATATATGCCAGTCCCATGGAGTGTTTGCATTATATTTCTATGTTCCATACTTCACGGGCATTCTTTCACCACTTAAGGGAAGACTTACAGTGTCGACTCGACTACAAAAGATCAAGCATCCATCTGTTTTGCTAGAGCATCTCCGAACGCTCGCCCCCACATCGGAAAAACCACGACAGCTCCAGCGGGGCTGCCGGGCGCGAGCGGCTCCCGGCCATGACGACGAGGGCCGAATCCTCCAAAAAGTGTTCACCGTGCAAACGTTCCCAAACCTCGGTCTTCGGAGCGGCTCGACGACACGTGTCCCGTCGACCGCGGTCGGGTTCCAAAACAACCGCCGTGTTCGGACCCCCGCGATTCGGGGTGGGGTTTTGGGGGGCGCGTTGGGAGCAACACCGCGACCAACGCGTAACACCGCGACCAACGCGTCGCAGGAGTTCGGTCTAAAGGTTACTCTTTTCATCTCTTTTCGAAGCATGGAGGTCAGGCAATGGAGATCAGTGGGATTTGTTGGGAGGATTTGGCACTGTTGGTTTCATGTTCCTGTCTTCTTGCTCCCGTTTGGCGTCCTGCTTGTAAGTGCTTCTAGAACATCATATAGCTCATTGTTTCCAGGGAAGGTGTCATGGGAAAAGGGTCTTCCACACTTTTCTCGTGCGCCGGCGTTCAAACGCTCTCAGAGTAGTTAGCTTATTATATTTAATTCATTATAATTCATTATATCATGCTTTGGCATTTGGGATGTTGAAGTGGAAACCTTACACTTGTAGTCGTGCATGCTCACAACAATCATAATCACATACTAGATACAAAATGATTCTGAGGGTTCACCATTAAAGTTTTAAAGCTACATTTGTGAATTTGTTGCGGAACTCAGTGCAAACAATTGGAGTACACAACTGCTGCTATGCAAATTTGTGTGGCTTGTGGCTTGTGATGATCAATTCTTGGCCACATGGAGAGGCCATGTCGCAGGTGTGTTCGGGTCCATATGGGTCAATATTCAATGCATACCAGGCTGAAGTGGCTCACACCGGGGCCCCGTAGATACACCATGATACACCCACAAAACCCGCTGATGACACGAATGCCTCAGCCAGAATATCTGAACCTCTCAGCTGTGATATAGAGTTACCCTCAGACTCTTCCTCACTAACATGAAAGTGGATAGATAGCAGGGTCCCTTCAAAGACTACTTTCCTTTTACACACAGTGGGTTCATCCACTTCCATGTGATGTGTTCCTCGGAGTAGATCATCATGCGCCTGCCGGACGCCAGGCCGGACGGACTGAGTGCCCCCGAGTGTCCCGGCACCTTTCACTTGGTCCGGTGGCACCTGAAGCGGAGCCGGGAGTGGCACCTCAACCGGCGAATTCAGCCATAGCCGGTGCTGTGGCCGTCCAGGTGACAAAACGTGGTGGGGTGGGTCATATGAGCAACAGAATTCGACGACTGAGGTGAGCCTGCCACGGGTTTTCATGGTCTCCCATAAACCCTCCCACTTGCTCTCATCGCTTCCTTGGTGGAACCGGTGACGCCTTCGCTCGGCAAAGCTCCGAGCTCGACGAAGGACCGACGTTCAGGCAGATACATATATATATATATAGGCCTAGCTATATATGTCTATATTGTATCTGCTTCTGTATTGCGGCGCACCCATTTTTTCATTTGTCCGTCATGGACACCCGTTGCCGAAACTCAATACCAATCATCCAAATCCAAAGCCGGCCCAAAAGGATTGAAACTGCCAGTTGATGGTATTCATCTTTTTCTAGCGCACGATGCTCATAGGGGTAACTCCTCACAAACAAAGTAACACTAAATTAAAGGTTCTTGATGGTTCTTGCAAAGGGAACAGGAAAGCCCTTCGATTTCCATGTTGCACTTTTTGGCACGAGTTTCATAGAAAGGATCTGCCAAAATTTGATATAATCGTTAACATGGATCATTTGTAATTCCCGAGTTGAAAAAAAGAAAACAACGTAATAATAAAGCAAAAGCCCTAGGGCTCCAAGTACCTTCGTTTCGAAGGTGTTTGGGGTGGGTGCCAGGAGGGAAGAGCTATCAAAGCATCAAGGAGTCAGACTGGGCCCCACATTGCTACGGACCCGGTGGACCCGGGCCGCACATCCGTTCACGCCCGGCGACTTCGCTCACCGCACCGTGAACTGGGCGAGACGGTGAGTGAGACGGCGTGTCTCGTGAGATACTGAGTTCCCCCCACGCCGCCGTGGGAGGTGCGGCAAAAGATCTGGCCATGGGAGCACTTGAAGGCCTCAACGGCCAGATCCGTGTGAAGAATGAGCTCCAAAGCAGGTTCAAATGAATGACACGGAGAGGTGGTGGTACAGGAAACGCGGGATAAAACAGCAAAACCTTGAAACTGATGTCTATCTTTTTACCTCACCCCCAACTCTGATTTCTTTAGAAGAAGGTGGGGGATACCTGGACCATCCTGTCTGGGTATCCCATTAAAGGGATCCCATCAAAATCCCCCTAAGGTAGTGGGCTGGGTTCAGTGAATGCTCGTACTCTCTCACTCAAAGCTACGCCCGGACAGCCAAAATGGGTGTGCAAAAACTGGAAAGATCCGGATTTTCCGAATAAGACTCAATAAGCAGGTGAACCTACATCCAGGTGGTTCGTTCCGGGCTTCGGGTACCTCCCCGGTCATCACCCCAGTCACCCGAGTTGGACGACAGAAGGGGCGGAGTTGGCGGCGGAAGCGCCATGACTGGAAAGCTACGACCTGAGAGAGTGGGCCCGGAAAGGGGCCTGAGACTGAAACTCAGGGTGTTGTGGTGATACGATTCGCATCTCTCATGGTGAAAACAGATCGCCACTAGCCTTTCCCCTCCAAGAGTGCACAGCATCCCTTGTACATGGCCCTAGAGTTGAGTTCTCTCAGCTGCAAGAGTTTATGCAGAAGGTGGAGCCCAGGGGCAGAATTCCAACCATAGGATCAATCATTCATTGATTTGTTTCGACTTGTCCCGGGAAGGAGCACACTGGGATCACCTGGTGCATGCAGGACTAGTGGGAAAACAACAGTACAAGATCAAGAACGATTGGCCGGATTTTGTCGTTCAAATCGTTGAGTGCATAGAACCATGGTGCCAGGCTTCGGTAAGGACGGTGGCACCCCATCCATCCCGCCTTGTCTTTTGCCTCACGACCACCAATGATCCACATACCATTGGCACCTGTCAGCAACACGTGTGGCGGACGGGACATGTCAGTGGAAATGCTGCAACGTATATGCTTGTGACCGTGACCCCCAACCATTAGTAGGGCCGAGTCTATGTCCCATCTTCCAAATCGGTTTCAAAAAGTCGGTCTAACAAAAGGTCAGTCAACACTTGGGTCGATCTCATGTCCTCAAAGCTGTGCAACTTGGAAGTCCACATGTCCGAACCTTAAAGCCGGAGGAGCATCGCCAGCTCGAGCCCTTCCAGCCGACCCGTCCGTGAGAGCAGAATCCCAGCTCCGCCCTCCGCCTGAGTACAGCCAGAAGTTCCCGGCTCTTTGCTCCCACACCTCAGGTCAACCCATGGTGGACTAGCGACGTGCTGGTCTAGACCGGCCGTGTGAGAAATCACGGGGGTACATTGAATTTGAAAACCCTTCACGTCTCTCAACTCCTTCCTCCGGCCACTCAAGGCACCCGGCTGGATGGCCATTCGCAGTCTCTGAAAGAATCACATACTCTCCCCCACACTGCTGCTGGCCGTTGGGGGACACCACGAAAAGGCGCCTCGCACGATGTCCGTCGTCCGGCAGAATTTTCGCGCCAAGGCAGCTGGGGCGCCAGACACTCCAATACTACCATATATGTGAATCATACATATAACTCACCTAGACATAATAAAACAATACAACATGTGTAATGATGTATAATGTGTATATATATATAATCAACATTGACCTTGGGCACGGCATATCTCATTATATACAAGAGCCCCGTGGATGATGATGGTTAGGATTGGTTAGGTTGCAAATCCGTCTCAAAAAGAGTATACTGGTAACGAGGTACACCCTATATACATTGACCCCTTTTCACCCACATCTTCCATGCATGGAGTGTCTGGTATAGCAAGTACTGGCTTTGTCTGGCGCTACTGTACATGGCTCTGAAGCAAAATCACGGTACCTTGGTTGACCTACCTTAGAGGTCGTTCGCTACATGGTGGACTGGTCGGGCTCCAGGTTTGGATCCATCCTCACATTCTTACTGTGGTTTGTGTGTAGGCGGCACAAACCCGGTTTATATGGACCCATATGGACCCCCATCTCAAAAGACATCTCTCTGAACCCACTGTATGCAGGCTTTCGGGCCATCCACAGTGACCTGATAAGTCACTAACCGAGGCCACAGCGATGGCTTCATTCGAGAGAAGCTGGACGCATCGAACGGTGCTCCTGGCTGGAATGACACGAGAAAAAAGTGCATAATACTTCCACCCCCTCTCCCCTGAAAGACCAATGATTGAATCCACTTGAAGCATTTAGTCCGAACTGATTGCATCATCCGCAGTGATGAGATGTCTGTTTCTCTCACATCCCCGTATGGTGTTGCAAGGAAGAAATGTAAGACAACACCAGGATGAAGTCCTCTTGACGATATTTGACGATAAACTTTCCCAAAGCAGTACACAGTACATGTCGATTAACATACAACCCCCCAGAAACTATTCAACCGTGTGGTCAAAGGCTGGGATTCTCTATCATCTGCACCAATAGAAGCAACAGGACTGTTCCACGAACTTGAGAGAGGAGGGGGTGAACGAAAGGTAGCAGGCAATCACAAGTATCCCTGGTAGAAGTCCATGACGGCGTGAACCGGCGCAGGGGGGATTTGATCCGGGGAGGGGGGGCCCCCCCCCCCCCGACGAACAGAATCAACTCTTACAGGACCAAATTCAATGCACAATCCCAACTCCTGATTGTAATACATTTTTGCTAAAGCAAGGAGAACTCAGGTAGCTCAAGCTACCTTTCGTGACAAACCAAACAGTCGACAAAAAAATTGGCTCTCAAATTCTTGATTCGTCAACAAACACTAGGCAGAATGGTTTCATGTCGTTTCATGCTGCACCCGTTTCCTGCATTTTCCCGAGAACATCCAGTTCTAGGTTGATGTCACATGGTGTGGTGTGCATCCGTGATGACTTCGCTCCGAACTCGGTGCAGGTCATCGGAAATCATGTTCCCCATTTCTGTCAAACAAGTGTTTTGTGACAAGTGCCTACGTCAAAATCTTTGGATGCTTTGCGGCGTCGAGGCTTTGGAGTTCGTGCCCTCCTGAGGAGGAAAACAACCGAAAACCTCTCCTCCTTCAGTATGAGAAGCGCAACACCAGCGCGATCGTGGTTTTGCCCAAGGCAACTGCAAATCTTGGTGGTGCCAATTTCATGAAGACTTAAAAGAACCTGCAGTCTGCAATGTCCACAGCGGCTTCTTGCTGGAAGAGGTTCACCCTAGGGCTTTTAGGCCAGAAAGAACCTCAGAACCGATCATTGGACCCTAAAGAATCCCCAAGGCCCATAGATTAACCATTTGAGCCGAAGGTTTTAGGATTATATAGTGAACACATGGACTAGTTGACTAGGTGTTTGTGTGTTCCATCTCCAAGACCTGATGGTTTTCCCATGTTTTCTATTGTTTTCTTGGGTCTCGTGCTCAGCTCTGACCCTCTCTGGATTGGAAGTTGGTTCTGCTTCCTCTGGGTGCCTTCTTGACCTAATTACAAAGGGCTTGAAGGCGGCGATGGACCATGCAGCAAGCCATGAATGCTACGAAGCTTTCGTCAGTTCACCACTTGTTCCAGTGGTTTCTGCCTACGGAACCCAAATGGAACCTGCATGGCCGGTAAGTTTCTTCCACCATTCCTCTGGAAACCAACGGTGGTTGCCGTTAGGCGGATGGTTTGCAGACGGTGAGAAGTCACAAGCTACAAGCAAAAGAACATGGGATCTGGGCTTGCTCTGAACTTGAGAAGGTCATTCAGTGAGGTGTGGTGCTCCTGCGAACGTTTCTTGCGAAGCTGGACGTCCAGGTCCGATGACGTCTCCAGCCGTAGACCCGGTGCCCAGAAGTCATCTCTTCAACACATCGGGCTTTTTTGTCTCACTCTCGGGCCAAAGCACACTTGTTGCCTTGGAACCCGGGCCAACCCGAACCGATTTCGGCGCCGAAAGATAGCCGTTTCTGGAAGACCTCGTGGGTATGGGGCTAATTCCACCGGCTTTCACCACAGGAATTCTGCAATGAGTTAATTCAACGATGCTTGAAAAGGAGTAACACTGCTGTTGCTAGCCACTAGCCACTGGATGTTTTTGTTCAGGTCTTATACCAATTGCCAATGACCAAAAGGGTCTTTCTCCTCCCGTTCCTGTCCCGTTGCAGCTCCAGGTGCAAAGGAACTCATCGCACATGAAGGACGATCGGCCGTTGCCCCCTCGAAGTTGGCCCAGCCTCAGTGCTGAGTTAGGCAATCCCGCGGCCAAGCTGTACGTGCCCTCCGTGCCCTCCGGTCGAACCACACTTAAGCCTATAGCAAATTGCTTGAGGCGAAGGTGCGAAGATGTACAAAGGCAACAAAAGTGCAAGCCTCATTTGCACGATGAGACCGGTGTACTGGGGGGGGCCAGCTGAGATGATAATCAGAGGGTTAGAAATGAAACATTACATGTAACATATTGTAACTATATACAGTACAACTAATGTCTGCACACTGCGCTGGAGACGTGTTTAATTCAAAAGCCAGAACCGTTGTTAATGTTAGTTGTCGTCTATTGAGTGGAAAAGGCCCCACAGCCACACACAAAATAGAATGGACTCCTGGCCTTGGCATCAAAGTATTCGGAATGCTGTGTGGGTCGGCCATTGGGTGTTCAGTGTTTCCGGTGTTTCTTCAGACATGTTAGAGATGTTCAGTGACATACAAAAGTTTACAAATGCAACAGTTCTTTGACCAGTTCTTGGGGGGTTAGATCAAGTCAACTGCTTCTCAGCCAACTCAGCAGCCAACAGACTTTAAAAAAGAACACAATTACTTGTTTATTGGTGGAGGGAAAGCACGTCTGAAAAGGGTGCAAAAAAAACATTAAAAGTGTTCTGGGGCGAAAACATCTGACAAACCCCATGCAGCATCATGACAGTCATCATGGCGCCCGTGAGAAAACATGGGAAAATCCCATCCCATCATCATTTTTCCCCATGTTCTCCCCCTATTTCTCAATGGACCCTCTGAGAGGGCCCTAAGGGTCGCCGCACCTCTGTGGCACCTTGTCCTCACAGCGCCCGCACCTCGGCTCCCCAAACGACAGAGGTGCCGGAATTTGGCACTCCAGGGCTCTGCAGCAAAATGGCAAGCAATCAAACTGTATTTATAGATGTGTATATATATATGCACATGTATGTAAGTATATACATAAAATGTATATAGAAACACAATAATATAGACTATACACCATGATGCACTATGCACTACAGTGTGCACTACAACTAGCATAAAGCGGTAAAATGGTCATGTTTTGAAGCACTTGAACTATTGAGAAGCAGGTGCTGGGGCGGTCATTGAAATCTTAACTACTTTGCACCTGTGGGGGGTTGCAACATTCCGAAGACCAGTGAGCGATGGTGAGGGAACCCCGCGATTTCTTGAAGGATTTCAATGTTCCACAGAGTCAGGCAAAAGCAAAACAACAATCAAACAAAAAACCGTCCAACCCACTGTTCTCACCATCCTGCTCTCAAATGCTCTTGGATTTGATTAATGTTCATGAATGTTCTTCTGTGCATGCTCTCTACATCGACAAATCAACACATTTCTCAGCAAAGACCGACCTCACAGCGAAGCCGGAGCTGTCCCGTCCGCCGGTCGTGTCCGACTGTCCCACCCGGAACCCGGTCTCAAGAACCGGTGAACCAACACGACCGGTCACTGGACTGGTCGATGGCGGACTGGGCTTGGCCGACTGGACGTTGGCTTGAGGGTTGGGGAACCACAGGTTTTCTCCCAGAGGTCTCCAGGAGATCACGTCAATGACCTGCCCGAGCGGCGAGCGTCTCACGATGCGAGCGTACGCGCGATGCGAAAGCGAGAGTGAAAGCGAGGCGCGGCGGAGGAGAGAGGGCGAAGGCATTGTGACATGGTGGGGGTCGGAAGAAGAACCACCTACTACAGTATAGACTGGATCTTATTGATAAATGACTTAAAACATCCCACATCAATGTACATCAATGACGAGGTTGATCGATCCAACTGGCGGGAGTTATTCATCAAAAGTCTACAAACATCATTGAGCTGGCCCCCACAGCTCCCTGCCCCCGGAAATTGGGAGATCCCCCGATGCCCCTGGTGGGGAAAAAGAACGCATGCATAGCGGAGATCTTTGCATGGCCAACCGGAAGGTCATGGATACATCGATTGTTGGCATTAGATATGCATAATCATGTTACATCCTTTTCATTCATGTATCAGATATCGTGGTGGTGGAGGTGGACCGACATTATATTGACCGACATGCTGGCAGCTTCCATGGTATATGGTGAGTCATCGTAGCTCGTTCTTGGCCGCCCGATATGAGCGCCCGCCCTAGATGGAGCTGACTCAGCTGCCATCAACTGTCAGGCCAGGTTAAAGAATGCTTATAAGAGAACTCGGTCATCTCATTCATCTCATTGTGATCCTAGGTGTTTCAAGCTTCAATTAAATTTCGAACTCAGAATCCTGGCCCCTCATGCATGGCCCGCCGTGCTACTATGTGGTGTGAAGCACCAGTTTGCCTGCAAATCAAATGCTCGCTCCCCTTAAAAGCCTGAGTTGGAGCACTCTACACATCCTACTAATAGTAGGTGGGTTGAGGATGTCAAGGAAAGACTTCACAGGTGCTTGTGGTGCCAACACAACAAGGACCATCCAACTGCCGCGGCCCCGAAGCAAACGAGCCAGTCAAAGAGACCCCTTTCACGGATGTTCTTCCGCGGTGCGGAAGAGACAAAACACCGAGGCTTCAGTGGGCCAATGTCTTCCAGAACCAACGAACGATGGCCGAACACCCGCAGAACCCCCCAGTCCTGGAGAGGATCGCTGTTGATTTTCACTCGGCACCCGCGAGCCCCTGGGAGCCGCGCGGCCGGTAGGGGTTCGCCGGCGCGGGCGAAAACACTCGCGCCGGTCGAGTCGAGCGGCGGCATCAGCCTGGTGGAAGAGGGTGGAACTCTATAGGTTCTATTTCAATCTCCCAAGCCTGAAGAGGTGTAATATTCCGAATGGTAGGGGGGTGATTCATCAAGAGTCTACGTTATGAAATGGGTGTTTTCAGGTACCAAGATCTTCCTACTCGAGTCGAGTGGTTGGATACTTCAGTGCCAATGGAAGTTAGCCCACACACACCCAAAATCACAAAAACATACAGAAACATCCTTCCAAATACCTCTTTTGCAGCACGCCAGCAGCATACTTTAGCACTTCCTCCCCAAAACAAAAATCGACGACTCCCCCCCCGGCTCCGGCTCCGGCTTCTTCGGCTCAACCCGCTCCTCCACACCGTCCGGAAGCTCTCAGGATCGGTGCCGGCAGCTCGTCGGAGCTCGACCTTGACAGGGGCGGGGCCGACTCGGCCTGCTGCGGGGAAACACCAAAGGCGGGGAGAGATCCGGGGAGAGTCGGGTTTTGGGGGGTCACCAGTGTCCCACCCAGCTCGGGTCTATCCAGCTCGGGTCCAAAACCAGGACTCCCGCAGAGTGAAGAGAATAGTACTGCCTGAGAGGTCGGGGCCCCGGGTGCCATGACCCACAGCCATATGGTGGGAGCCTTGTTTGTCCTGTCTCTCCTCCGACTCCTATCAACCACAAAATAGGAGGCAAAGAGGAGAAGGACATGGAAGAGTGCACACAAAGGAGGAAGTCTAAGAGGAAAAACGATAGGACATGATATGACCAAACAAAAGAAAAGGGAAGAAAACGCATACAGTAAGGGGCAAGGCAAGAGGCAAGGAATAGGACAAGGACAGAACAGAAAATAGCAAAAGAAACAGTGGCATCAAAGGCACGGGTTGTAAACAGGAAAGTTAAGGTAAGCAAAACTAACAATTGCAAAAAACAAACATCTTTATGCTCGGCATGGCTCGGCCAGTCGCAGCGTTCTTGGATTACATCACTTGAGTGCTCGTGCTCAGAATGCCTCCGGCCGTCCTTCACGCTGCGTGCCTGACCATTCCCCTTCTTCCTTCCCTCCTATATAATTCCTAATCTGCTTCTTCCCGAGTCATCAACCTCTGCAGCCTTTGGGTTCCCATGGCATGAGGGTCGTTGGCAGCTCTCCCAGTTCCACGGGCTGGCAGCTCTCCCAACACCACCCCTGGCTGTCGGTGCATCCCTTGGGTGGTTCTGCACCCACCGGCAATGCCGTGTTCTACAGCACCAGCACTCGCCACGTGCCTTCCCAAACAAACCTGTTCTTTTCTCTTCCCATCCGGATCCATCCGGTACAAACGAAACATGTTCAGGCAGGGGCGCTCTCATGATGTCCAACCTTGGGGAATTGCTTGTACACGAGCGGGGGTCTCCGGGCATCCCGTCCATTGATCAACCAAAGGGCCATCGCTGTGACTCCGGCCATCGAACTGAGGTCTCCTCCCACTGGGCACTCGACTCCTCTGGTGGAGATGTTTGCTTCTTCAGAACCTGAGACGTTGAGTCGCCCAACCGATCGGACAGGTGGCCTCCGCCCCCTGACCTCCCTCGAAATCGGCCGGAAGACCGAAATCGGCCGGAAGACCGAAGCTCAGCCGACACGGGTGAGGTAAACCATGTCCCAGCAATTCTTTGAATGATTCACCCCCAAAAATGGCAGAATTTCTCCTCTGCATAGATCAAGAAACCTGATAAGTACCTATAAAAGTGGTACTCCACTATGGGAGGGTTTATATACCAGGTATATACCAGTTATATACCAGGTATATACCATTATTCTATGGGAGTGGTACGGGAGTGGTATGGGAGTGGTATAGGGAATGTAAGTCAGTGGTATGGAAGTGGTATGGGGAAAATCCTTATAGGAGTGGTATGGGGAATGTATGGGAGTGGTATGGGAGTGGCTGCCAGGATGCTTTGAGTTTGAGCAGATGCACCCACGTGCATAATTCTCCCATAACTTTATAGGAAAAATACATGTCTCCAACTCCTTGTACCTATACTGCTCCCATGCACAGGTACCAAGTTTGCAGGTACTTAAAACTTCGGTGGAATAGATGTCTACTGCAAATCCGAGGTTGACATTGGTCGATGATTCGCTTCATCTTGGGGCTGAAGACCAGGTGTCCCACGCTTGTCCCTCGCTGTCGGGGGTGTGTCCAGCAGTTTCAAGTAAACATGATTTTTCTATCTCTATATCTATCATTACCTATCCCTATTTCTATCCGTGAATCGGTCCATCTATCTCTATCTATCTATATCTATATCTATCTAAATCTATAACTATATTTCTATATATATATATCTATATCTGTATCTATATCTATATCTATCTACCTACCTACCTACCTACCTATCTCTCTCTCTCTCTCTCGCTCGCTCGCTCGCTCGCTCGCTTTCGCGTTACATTCATAGATTTATAAACAAACTAGTGTACACCGTACACCATCGGCGGGCCATATCACCTGCAAACTATGGCCTGCAACAATACCCACAAGAATCAGTCTTCTAACGATGATGACCATTCTTTGGACATGTTTTGGGTGTTTACGGTTTATAGATGTCTGCTTTGCTCCATCCACACATTAATTAGCATGTAATGTGTTCTTTATGTCCCAAGGACAAGCCAATGGATGAAGCTCCCAGGATCCCCTGCCATTACTAATGAATTACCCACATATAATTACCAGTACATCATATATCATATACCCACCAAATCTGCTCCTCTCCCTCGTCCTCCGTCCCGATGAAGAATGACCACACGCGTCCTCTCCGCGTTTCTGCCGCGCCACGTCCGACTCGTCGCCGTTCTGGCCGTTCCGCTTCTTCTCCTTCTTCCCCTGGCGGGAGACCGGTGAACCGTCGAGCTCAACGTCGAAGCGGTGAGGCTTCGGTCTTTCGGCTTCGACCGCGGCAAAGCCACGGTCGAACGGCGGGGAGGCTTCGTCGGACTGTGGTGAGAACGTCTAGTCTTGCGGTGAGAGAATCGGTCTGCCATCCAGGTGTAATTGGTAGAGCAACTGGATCGTGCAAAGGAATTTCGATGCGTTGCACCTTACCTAGACACATTCATGTCGTGTCTGCAAGCAGCTAATAGTAGTCCACGACGACAGGCTGCCTCCAGCAACATGGAATTAACGAAAGAGTGGATTGCACCAATCCCCGTAAACTGATAGATCAGCGGGCAGCTCTGGCGGGCACCTTCTTCTCAATCTTCTCCTTTTTGGCCCTTTTTGTATCTTTCTTGTCTTTCTTCTCCGCTGGCATCCTCTCCTCTCTTCGGCCTGAACCCACGCGCGCGCACGCTTCCCTCCCATAGGCCAAGCCCTCCGAGAATCAAGGCGCGGGGGGAGTGTGAGCAACAGGCAACATACACTCCCGAAAAATCACATAGACTTCCGAAAATGGCACACTGACTCAGTCTGACTGTTATCCTCTAGCTGCATCAGCGCTGCTTCAGGGTCTATGTGAGTTTTCAGTGGTCTTTGCCCCTTCAGTGCCCCGTTGTTTTTTGGGGCTGAAAGTGTGGAGAGAGATGGATAGAGACAGGACAAAAAGGAGACCCACCAGTTCTCATAACTATCAAATCACATACTGTACATATATATACTGTATGTATGTATATACCTTGATCTTCCAAACCCTTTAAAAACGTAAGGTGCAAGCAAATACACGATGTTTCGAAACAAAACACGATGTTTTCATTTTTGGAGGGTTGTGGGTTTCGACGCGCCGAGTCTTCCGCAGATCCCTTTTCCGGTTCATTCCCAATCCCTTCTTCGACCTGTGCGATCCATTGAGTTCGGACCTGAGACTTGCTGAAGCAAGTATGCAAAACGTTCAAAGAACTTGACGAAGTGCACCAACAACCGCCAACAACAACATCACACCAGCAAGCGTCCAAAGGGAATCACAATGGGCGGACCAGAAATCCAGCTGAAGTGAACTCGTGAAAGGCCGCTGTCAAATACCTTTGCATTGTCCGCTCAAGGGCTGGCTTCATCGACGTGACCCGGCGGCTCAGCCGACTGCCACGGCCTATGAAATCTTCGTCTTGCTGAACACTTGTAGCCAGAGGGTTCAAGCTCTCAATGCCGCGCTGCGAATCGTCCCATAAAGTTATCAACATGTGGTGAAGCGCGTGGTGTTTGGGTTGGATTATAAAAAGCAAACGGCCAGCCCTTTGCGCCTCAAGTGCCAGCTCAGAGTATCGTCTCAAAAATCTCATGCCTTCATTGGCAATGAGGCCCGCAGAGGCTGGTTTCAACCAAAGCTGTTCGGTGTATAAGCCACGCACACAGGCTTGGATTGCCATGGTCGCTTCTTTCACAAGCTGCAGGAAGGGGTCAGAGCTGAAGTCCGATCGTTCACAGATGGACTCGACAAATGACATCAAAATTGTCGACAAGGCCCCCTTGTGCCAAATGCCGGTGGGATACACCGTAGTGGTTTGCCAACCCAAAAGTTCCTTCGAGATCTTTGTAGAACCTCTTCTTTTTTTCGCTGTGATGCACCAAGTCTGAAATTTGAGCGACAGATTTGAAAATCGTTCGTCCACGGTGCCTCCTTCCTCTTTCTCAGAAAGGAGGGCCAACGCTGAACCAAGGAAGTTCTTGGACACCCCTAGGTGGTAGCAATGAAACCAATCCCATGCCCACATCAGTTCCAATCGGTCTGGAACGTGCAACACACGCCTGAAAGGAGACTCTTCCAGAAAAGGGCTGGACTGACAAATTGTCCCTTTCCAGGCTGGCCGTCTGGTGCTGATTTGTTCCCAGGAGACCGGGTGGACGCCTGCCATGCACTGGTGGCATATGCCACCTGGAGGCTGACGAACCTGCTTTCGTTTCTGCACATTGTTGTAGCTTCTTGCGAATCTTCCACTTTTGTGCAAGAATGGCCAATCACCGATAATGTTGAGGAGGATGGCATTGTACCGATGCCCTTGTGCATCCAGCAACCCAATGTCGGACATAAAGGATGCCTCTTCGGCAGCTGCAGACAAAACATTCTGAAAAACACCGTCGTTTTCTCCGGTGTAGTCACCCTTCCTCAAAGCCGAGAACATATACCTGGTCGTGAACGAGTGTCCCCGGAAGTTTGTTTTCAATTTCAGCCATTTCTTCCTAATGCCACGTCTCTTGCCAGCCTTAGCCTCAGGATGAAGTCCTCGTCCAAGCAATGAACGAAATGATATGATCATTGAAGGCATCTCTCCTTCTGCCTCGACCTTCATCTCCATGCAAAACTAAAGGAACAGTTCGTCGGAGATGGATTCTTCCCTCTTGGGAATGCTGAAAAACAGGATGGGATGGATGTAGTATTCTGTATTTTCTCCAGAATGCCTCCAATATATCACCTTCCCTCGATTGATCACGACGAACCAACCCTGTCAAAATGTGCCAGCAGTTGTGCGTCAAGAAGAAAGCCATCCAGTCTCGCAGCTTCAGGAGAGGCACTGTGTGACCATTGTCTGTCTTCAGGTGTGATATTGGAATTGGTAAGGCCAGAGCAAAATTGCTTATGACGCGGCGAGAATCTCTTTCAGAGTTTGTAATCCCGCATCGAGCAAGTTCTGATAAACCGCCGCTTGCTGCTGCTGCTGACGTCCCTATATCAGCAACAACATCGCGAGCTGACTCAATGGCCGAAGTGCATGGGGCCTCGGCCGACGAAACCGGAACATCAAGTGAAGCAAAGCATGAACAACAAACAAGTCTTCAACAGTGTGTCCTTCCTATTCGCTTGTGTGATCAATGCAAACATTCTTGGAGCGCATTGTGATTTGCAAACCTTTGTGAGACTGCCCAACCAAAAAGTTGAAGAACATTGTTTTTTGTCCACCGTGTTTCAATTGATTTCCCAAACGCCACACTCACTTGCCCGCTATATATTTGTTGCTCGAACTGCTGCTCTGAGGTGTGAATGGCATGGCCCCGCAACGATGTGGGAACAAGGCGAAACTGAGAGATGTTAATCCCTGCTTGATTAAGTGGTAGGAGACCTGGTGGAAAGAGCTAAACGCCACAAGATCCTCAAACTGACATGGCTAAGTCCAAAAGACTTTGCAGCGTCCTTTTGTTTTTGCAGCTTTGCGTGGAGCGACGGGAAGGTGATTATAGATTGTTTGTTGTTCATTGTTTGTGTTTGTCTAAGTGAGTCATTGTCTATCAAAGACGGTAAGTAGTGGTTCCGGATTTAAGCCGAGTTTGACAACGAAGAAACATAGTAACATGGCCAATACAACTACCAAGATTGATCACTTAAGGCTAAAGAGGCGTCCCACTACATGTCCACAACACGGTCAGGGCAATGGCTGCTTCATGGCTCGGTTCACCTTTGCGTTCCCTGGCATCAATAGGTGGGCCAGCCAGTGTTCTTGACGGGAGGTCGCATGTAAGACCAGCTTGTGAATTGTTTGGAAAGATTTGTTTTGAGAGGATGATCTTTTTGACATCCAGGTTCAACAAGTCTTGTAAGGCTTTATCCCTTTGCCTTAGGAAACGCGCGTTTTCAAGGAAGTTGTTATGCTTACTTAAATTTGTGTGGGATCAGGAGCTATAGAAGTTAACTTGGTGGCTGTGCTGCCCCATGCCATCAAGCTATCTTGGGATCTGGCTCCTTGCCCAATCCTTTTTGCAAAGCCGCGTAGAGCATGTCCAGGTCTTGGGCCTGGCATTGATGGGTGTTGCTGGTCAATTCCAATTGACTGGAATTGATGGTTCCCATCAACTCAGCGATCCTTTTGTGAAGATGTAGGCACAAGACATGTAGGAAATGAGAAACGGACAATCGCAATACGCTTTTTCCCCTTCAGATGTCCCAGAAAGTCATTGTGGTACCTATCACAATTCAAACCCTTGTCGTTTGGACGGACTTCTTCGCCCTTGGAAAAAAGACAGCTTCATTTTGGTTTGTGTCCTACAACTCCTTGGGCAAAGATGGAATCAGTGTGGTGAAAACCACAGCTCAAAATGCAAAATCCCTAATCATTCTTGGTCTTCTTGGACTTAGCAGCTGCCTTTTTGGCGGCTGCCTTTCCCTTAGCATCCTGAACCTTAGCACTGTTTCCTGGGCCTTTATTGCCAGGAGGGGGCTTGCGCTCACTCGATTTGCCATCCTCCCGTTTCTTCTCGTAGAACCGTTTGGCGCTCCTGGAGTGGACAAAGAAGAAAGGACCCATTGTGCAAAACAGCTGTTTACTAGATCTTCTGTATTCCCGGTTTTATAGTTGGTAAAGACATGGAATTCCTATAGTTCGATTTTCTGTGGCATGGGTTGAAAGCTCGTCACCGGCTTCCAGGCTCTCGCTTTTGACTCGACTGGAGCAGTCCTGGCTTTCAGCTCCAATCCGGCAGCTCGGGTGCACCTTGCAAAGCACGGCCGTGCTTTTGAGTGAGCGAGTGAGTGAGAAGAACATGAACTTTGTTTCCAATCTTCCCACAACATTACGGCAGGAACACGCCAGTTCCTTCCTTCATTCGTTTCTCTGCAAGATCATAGAACCTGAAGTCAGGTTGTTTACAGACATGTTTATAATTGATGTTGCTGTGTGTGCTTATGGATTCACCGCATTGAAAAAATTGTATCCAAACCAGAAACTTCTCGGTGTAGAAGCCCTCCGTTTCGCCCTTGGCCCACACTTCGTTACACTGGTCAAACTCTTGGTCGACGCTGACCAGGGCAGTCTCCAAGTTCTTGATGCACCTGATTGCTGGCCGCCCGGTGGTCACCATGATGTACTATGATATTTATGCAATTCCTCTAGAAGCTTGGCAAATACAATTTGAACAAGAAACTCTTTGCTTGCAGCATCATCGAATTTGCTCTTCAATTCCCGGATCAACGAACGGAGCTTGCCAGATTTCGAGAGAACGGAGTCTTTGAATTTCTTCAATGCTTCTTTGGTCTAGCGGCGGGGAGAGTAAGAAAGGTGAAGTCAAACAAAAGAAAAGACTGTGATTGCATGACAATATCATCGTGGTTCTAGGAGCCTACCTGGGTAAACTTGTCTTGCTTCTTAATGTCGACCTTGGTAGTCCGTTCCTTTTCATCCCGTACCGACAGTGCCGCCAGCTTCCCGAACTTCTCTCCGCCAAGGTTGAACTCTGGGTCCTTCTCAGCCTGCCGGACAAATATGTCATTTCTATTTTTTGGAGATCGTAAACAAAGCTGCAGACAAATGAACCTGCCTGTGAAACCTTCTGATGCGTTTCCTCGAAACTCTGTGACTCTTGACGTTTCCCTGTCTCGCGAACGACGACCCAAAATTCTTCTTCTCCAT